TCGCCCAGTTGCTGTTGTAAGAGCTGTTGGTATAGTGAGTCGCTGGCTGGTGGATTGGAATGTTTGCTCCGTCGTTTGTGCATCCGTCGTCTCTTCTTTGTCGCGGTTGTCTTGAGGTCCAACTTCATGTACACAGCTTGGTGGTCAGAGCCAAGGTCCGAGACGTTGGAAGCGAACGAGTCGGTCACTTGATGACGACACGCTCTGTCGATAAGAACGTAGTCGATGTGTGTCTGAATTGAGTCTTTGCCGCTACTTGTGTAAGTGAACAAGTTGTGGTGATGCTTGTGAAAGAACGTGTTCGCAACGACGAGCTTTTGCGTGTTTGACCAAGCCCTGAGCCACGTTCCGCGTGGGTTGCATATGCCCAAACCGAACTTGCCCACAGTGCCCCTCCGACCCTGGCTGTCTGATCGATCGTCGTCGTCGTCGTGGAACCGATGTCTGCCCACCTGTGCATTGAAATCCCCCGTGGCGATATACGTCCTCTTTTCCCGGGTGGCGCCATCGTGTAAAGCGGTTAGCTGGTCGTACATGTGCTGGATGGGAACGTCTGCGTAGCCCAAGTGAGGAAAATACGCCGTAACGATTCTCAGGAACTTCTCGGGGAGGTCAAGGTCAATGCAGACGATGCGTTCGTTAATGGGCGAGAAGCGCTTCACGTGTTGGGCGTGTCGCCGATGAACGAGAAATCCAACTCCTCGTGATGTGTCCGTATGGCCGGATGCTACAAATAAGTGGCTGCCAAGTTTTGTAGTCCACATCTCCTTGGGCTTAGTCCGCCAAGTTTCGTTGATAGCAAATACATCCCATTCGACGTCATCCAATTCATGCAGCAATACTTCGATAGAGTCGTCGTTTGTCAGGCTTCTCACGTTCTTGTGGATAATGGTGAAAGATTGTGGAGATGAAGACGGACTCGGTTTCGCATGGTTCTGGGCAAGCGTTTGGCCGAAAACGTTCTCAATCGGTGTGTTCCGTCTCATGCTGATTGGAACGTCGCCGTCGACAGTGCCGTAGTATCCTCGTCCCCCTCATACGCTCTTTGTCCCGAGCTGCTGAGGATCGAGAGTAGGGGGTTGCGAGTTTGAGGTGGTAAACTGGTTTTCGACAGCTGTTGGACGCTGGGGGTCGGAAGATGGACAATGGAGGTCGGAAAGGTGAGGCTGGAAGTCGATGGGTGGAGGTCAAATGCTGGAGGTGGTAGGCTGGAGGTCGGTCAGTGGTGCTGGCGGTGGGAAGTCGGATGCTGGCGGCTGGAGGTCGCAGTGTTGAGCTGGTGGAGATTGGAGGTCGATAAGTGGAGGTGGAAGCGAAATGTCGGATGCTGGAGGCCGGAGGCCAGAATCTTGCGTTGGCAATGGCTGGAAGTCGATAGGTGGAGGTGGAAGTGGGAGGTCGGATGCTTGAGGCTGGAAGTCGGGCTGTCGTGATGGTAAAGGTCGGAGGTCGATGGGTGGTGGTGTTAGATGGGAGGTCTGGTGCTGGCGGCTGGCGGTCGCAATGTTGAGCTGGTGGGGGTTGGAGGTCGATAGGTGGAGGTGGAAGTGAGAAGCCGGATGCTGGAGGCCGTTGCGCTGGCGATGGCTGGAAGTCGATAGGTGGTGGTGGAAGTGGGAGGTCAGATGATTGAGGCTGGAAGTCGGGCTGCTGTGATGGTAAAGGTCGTGTGTCGATAGGTGGTGGTGTTGGTGGGAGGTCGTATGCTGGAGGCTGGAGGTCGGAGTGTTGAGCTGGTGGAGGTTGGACGTCGATAGGTAGACGTGGAAAGTCGGATGCTGGCGGCTGGAGGTCGCAGTGCTGGGCTGTTGGGGAGTGGAGGTCACTAGATGGAGGTGGAGGTGGGAAGTCGGATGCTAAAAGCTGGAGGTCGAAGTCTTGATGGTGGAGGTTGGAGGTCGATAGGTGGAGGTGGGAGTGGGAAGTCAGATGCTGGAGGCCTGAGGCCGGAAGGTGGATATGGAGGTAGAAAATCGGATGCTTGAGGCTGGAGGTCGGAGTGCTGGGCTGGTGGACGCTGGAGGTCGATGGGTGGAGGTGGAGGTGGGAAGTCGGATGCTCAAAACTGGAGGTCGAAGTCTTGAGTTGGTGGAGGTTGGAGGTCGATAGGTGGAGGTGAGAGTGGGAAGTCTCATGCTGGAGGCCCGAGGCCGGAAGGTGGATATGGAGGTAGAAAGTCGGATGCGTGAGGCTGGAGGTCGGAGTGCTGGGCTGGTGGGCGCTGGAGGTCGATGGGTGGAGGTGGAGGTGGAAAGTCGGATACTGGAGTCGGGGGGGCTGGAGTCGGAGAAACCAACAGGGAATAATGACGTGGTTCTGCATGTCTATGTAGAAGCTCTGCGTTAGCGCGGATAGAAGACGAAGATGTGCCCGTAAGCGGTCTCGTTCCTGGATTCGGAGCCACAGCCGGTCTCGAGCTGCTTGCCGTAGTGGTAGCTTTGCCCACATCCGGAGCTTCCCCAAGAGCCGTAGATCCTGTCGAGACGGCTTGTTAAAGAGTTTGGAGGCCGACAGGTGGAAGGATAAGTGGGTCGTCAATACCTGTAAGTGGAAGAATAGGTCGGGCAGCAACGTCTTGCATTAGAGGTGGCTGTAAGGACTCCTGCGCTGGGGGTCCGAACTGGTCCTGCAAGGCTGGCAGAAAAGTAAGACGGGGGTCAACGAGGTCTCCCGGCGGGGTGAAACGTAATCCGATCTCTTCAGAGAAGCTGGGGGTCGGGGGTGAAGAACTCGGTATTAGGGTCGGGTCAAAAGGGGGGGGGCTGTTCTGTGGGAAGGACGGTTGCCGGACAGCTCCTGGCATTGGTATATTTGCCCATGTCCGCGACGTTCCCAAGACGGCTCTGGCGGTAGTTGAAGATGTGATCACACTCCAGACGTTCAGCTCGATGTTCCTTATCATTGGCGGGCCCGTCGTAGCGAAGAGGTAGCGCAGAAGGATGTACAGGAGGAACGAGGAGATCTGGAACCAGAGAGGTGGATGTGTCGGTAGCTTTGCCCGTGACCTCCACGTCCTGAAAAGCAGAATACATAGTGTTTCTTGTGGCTCGGGCGCTGGCGGTGGTTGCCAGGGCCCGCCCTGTGTCCTAATTGGACCCTTTGGATCCCCCCTTTGCGGATCCTTTGAAACTCTTCGCGGCACGGCTGACGATCTCGTCGCACTTGGTGGTGAGCTCGATCATCTTGGCGTGGTTGTGCAATGCTTCCCACTCTGCCCATTCACCAAGGGCCCACTCTCTCATAACCGTGCCTCCGTCGATCTTCACGGTAAGAGCCAATTCTCCACCCACTGTTACCGTGTATGGTTGGTCTGTGTCGTCGACGCTGATGGGGTAAGTGATGCCCATTGTGTCCTTCAACATGTATTTGACTCCAAAGCAATAGTTTCGTGCAGCCCGGACCAGTGGTGGGCGATCGTTCGTAGCCCAAATCAGCCGTCCACCACTCCTGCTGATCTTGGCGCTTCGAAGCTGGCCAACCGCAAGGTTTCTGTCGTCAATGCTCAAAAACTCAATGAATAGCATGTCGTTGAAATCTCCCTTGGCGTAACTGTTGGTTGGCGCCGGTGCTCCTAGACGTTGTAATTCTTGTTTGATCCAAGCGCTTGCGGCCTCCAAGGAATCGGAATCGAAGTCGTCAAGGTTGCCGATGACGGCCGTGATGTCCCTCTTGTCCATGATGCTGTTGGTGCCGTGAGTTGCAGATGCTGTCGGACGTGCTGGAGTAGATCGTTGCTGCTTCATCGCTGCGATGTCCATTTCCAGCTGCAGTAGTTTGGCGTTGGTAGTGGAATCCACTGTCGCTGCGGATTTCGCCGATGTCGGCCGGGAAGATGTTTCCAATGCCGATACGCGCCTGGTAATGTCGTTGATGGACTCCTGGAGAGGCTTCATTGCGGTGTCAAGGTCTTTACGCGAGACCCCGTGTGTTTTGATGGCCGTGATGTTGGCTCGGATCGGTTCTAACTTCTCGTTTAGTATGCTTCTGAGCGTCTCTGCAGTGAGGGCAGTACTGGGAGCCATGTTGGTGCCCTCGGTGCCGGTGTGCTTGCCTGCGTCGTCCAGTCTCTGTTGAAACAGTGCCTGACCGGAGCTTGCACCTTCTTCGTCGATTTTGAGCGGTGAGCTGCCAGTGCGAGGCACTGTGAGTGCCGAGCGCAACTCAGGCGAAGAAATCACATGTTGTTCCGGCATGTTTGCGAACGTAGTCGGGGTAAGCTTGTGCGAAGCAGGTGGTACTGTATGCGAACTGGTACAGGATGAGGAGGAAGAATACGAACACCGAACACCGGGACTTGGAGGGGGCTGGGTTGGGGGGGGCTCGTGGACCGCCCAGGCCCTGCCCCGATAGCCGTGTGGCCTGCCTCGGGGGCCTCCCGGGGCCCGCCCCCCCCTTGGGGGCCGCTCGACGCGCCTTCTGGGGGACCCTTGCTGGCCACAAGTGGGGGCCACCGGGGGCCTGCTGAACAGAAATAGGGGGCCACGTGCGAACCCTGCCCCTACCCCCCTCCGATTTCTGAAGGGGGAGGGTGGGGTTCACTCCGTTCGCGAGCTCCCGACCGAAGTGAACCCCACCCTCCCCCTCGGAACTCCGTGGGGGGTAGGGGTAGGGTTCGCACGTGGCCCCCTAATGATCAACATAGAAAAACCAAAAGGGACATGCACATGCCGAGACACCACTGGTGTGGTGACAGCGTCCGAGCATCCTGGGGCGGGGCCGCGGGGGCTCTCCTGGGGGCCTCCCGGGCCCCCCCCCCTGGCGCCAGGTCGAGGCTCGGCTGGGCCCAGCTTGGGAGCCTCTCGGGGCCTGCCTTTTTTGATGTAGGAGCTTACCTTCCACGGAAGCACCGTACATTGCCATGTGCGCAGCCTGGGAATCTACTTCTGGCAAAGGAGGATACATGCTCCCGCCGTGTCATATCCCACAACGCTCAAAGCATGCACCTCATAAGCACATGCCCCTGACGTGTTCAAGGACGTTGAGCGTAATCGATGTTGAGCTCACAATTCAGAGGTGACAGAGTGGTGTCCTGCTCTCATGTCTGTAATCACTTTTGCAACTAATTTGTGTAAACGCGCAGCGCCAAGCGGCAATGTTTTGGAGTCGTGCGTTCCTTCCACCGGATGGTACCAGTAGTGCAGCCCAAGCACTGCGCACAAGTGGTAAACAGGTAAGTCATATGTGTGTCTCGCCTGGATATCAATCACGTGCGAGCCTGCTGGAGCAAGAAACAAATGCATAAACAATGACCCATGTACACCGAGAGCCGCCCTTGCACGGGTAAACAGCAAAAGCCCCTGGGACAGGGTCAGCGGCTGCCATGACAGCTCAGTGTCCGAGCCATCAGTCCGCTTGCCCAACTCGAAACCACCAGCTGTGCCACGGAGATACATCAAGACACTCTTTGATACGTTTGCCAATGTGACGGCAGCTCTGCGCAACTGCAGGGTGTCTGCAAGGGTAAGACTGCGTCGCAAGTTTGGACCACGCTCCAAGAGTAACACAGTGGGTGCACCATCACCGTTGGGTTCCTCAATTGGCTGACCTTCTGTAACTACACGCTCGAGCGCAACATCCCGAACACGTTGGATATCAACCTGTGGCGTGTGCGCAACAATTTCGGCGTGGTTGGCAAAGTCAAGGTCCATACCAACAACCGCGGGCACATAGAGGGTATCGAACTTAAACACCACCTCAGCTCTGCGCATTGTTCGGAACTGGCGCCAAGACAAGCCCAGGAGGTTCAGCCAAGGTTTGAGGAAAGCTTCCTCTCTGAACCTCCAGATGATGACACTGTCCCGAAGACGCTGCACAGCAGGCCACAAGAGCCGCGTCAGAATGGTCTCGTGGAAATGTCCGTAGTCGGCAAACTGCGTATCGGTGAGGCTGATTGCGGACGGTATGCTCTCACACTCATAAGAAAACTTTGGTAGACCAGCTGTCAACCATCTAGTGTCCTCGGGGTCAGTGACCTCATCGGCATTCCTAATCATGATCATGGTGCTCCAGTCGGTCTTCTGACAGTTCTCTCTGCCAACCTTGCGAGCCAAATGAGACTGCACACAATTGATGTTGTTGAGGACATTCAGGTCAAACCGGTGCGTTGCATTGGCAATGAAGCCAGATGGAAACAAGTAGCCATTGTGAATCTTCACGAGCTGCTTTGTGCGTGCCCCATGGGACCAGTGGGCATGCTTCAGACGATGTGGGTCCTTGTATTTCAAACGCAGATGCTCGTAATCCCCGTCCGCCAACATGTTGATGGGTGACTGCCAGATCGCCTCGACCGGCTCTGCAGAAACGAGCTCAGGATCCCCCGTGCCCAACATGCTCACCTCCTTCAAGCGCTTCCGCCACTTGTTGACTTTCTTCCATGTCCGACCGCATACGGGGTCTCGGGCACTGTTCGGTGGCAACTCATGGGAGCCTTCCATGCCATCTTGTCGGCTCTTGCAAATCGACGCGAATCGACGCTAAATCGACGCTGATCGACGCTAAGTCGTTGCTAATCAACGATAGCCGACGCTGAATCGGCGCTATCTCATCGACTCCAAATGCGAACCGACGCTACAGACGGAATTAGAAGGGCATACCAGGCTCCCATGATTTGCCACCGAAGGCATTGGCACCAACCACCAAGAAGCAGCCCCAAAAGAGCTCTGGGAGCATGATGCAAGTCCGCTCAACAGCTGACTCAATTCACGGACCGTTTGCTCAAGAGGGAGCCAAAAACTGCTGCGGAGCCTCGCGGGCTCTCTTCTCGGGCTGGGGGACGTGGTCGGCGAAAGCACACAAAGAGGAGAAGGGGGAGGCGGGAGGATCCTTGCCATCGCTATGACGTCCATTCCCCGTGCATGCTTCGGTGTCGTACGTGCCCGTTTTGTTTTGCTAGATGATCCAGGATGCTCCTCGATGGTCCTCGCCGAGGAGAACACACGTCCGAGCAATGCCAGGGGATCAGGGAGGGCGAGGGTTGAGTCAGGCCTGTCCTCCTACAGGGGGATTTTGGACGAAAAACTATAGATACCCCAAAAATGCACCAACATTGCTAAAACATGCTCAAAGAATGGTCCCCAGACTGTGTTTGTTTTTTTTGTTTTAATCATGTTTGAATAGTGTCCTCCTGTGGAGGGACAGGCCCGACTTCCGGCGGAGCGGGGGGTGCGGAGAGAGAGAGGGCGGCGACCCCAGGCCTCCGATGGGCTCAAGCGCCTTGGCCGCGAGGTGCCCCAGGGCGCCCCCCCCCCCGCTGGGAACTCCTCCTCCTCCTCCTCCTCCTCCTCCTCCTCCTCCTCCTCCTCCTCCTCCTCCTCCTCCTCCTCCCCTCCTCCTCCTCCTCCCCCTCCCCCTCCCCCGAACGGGCCCGGACAGCGAGGCTGCAACGGCTCGGGTTGACCCACAGAGGGGGTCCAGCGACGAAGGGGGTGGTGCAGCAGAGATGTGGTGCAGTAACGGTTTGCGGGGTTGCAACACATCTGGGGCGTGCGATGCATCTCGGGGCGCAGGTGGACTGCTGCACGTCTGCGTGCAACGCGCTACTTGCACTCCAATGCGATCCAGCTCTCTGGCGCAATAGGCTATGCACTACATTTGCCCCACATGTATTGCACCATCCCCTTTCAGCTGGACCCCCTTCTGGGCTTCTGGGTGGCGTTGGAAAGAGACAGCGTGCAACAGCGACCTCCGAGAAGCACGCCATCCCTGTGAGGCGACCCCCCCCGCGGGGGGGGGGCCCTTCTGCGCGCCCCCTCCCGGGGTGTAACAAAACGCCGGCGGCGCCACGTCGTCGCACGTCATCTGTCCGACGCCCGCCGCACTGCCCGGACCCCTCCGAGGGCATGCTCTGACCAGAACCTCGAAGAGGATCCGGCCGTGCGTGGTGACGAGGGCTCTCCAGGAGGAGCAACGTCACAGGGGGTATCGGTCAGATGCTCCCCCTCGTGCCCGTCGCCAGAGAGGAACGCACGATCTGAGCGGCAGGGTCGTTCTGGCCCGCCCCCCGGCCGGATTCCGCTGCTGGAGCCGCTCGAAGATCTCGCTGGGCAGGGACGCGCACGGCTCACGGAACGTCTGGGAGAGGACCGCCTCGAAGAGGTCCCCGCGGGCAAACTTCACCTTGGCCTTGTCCACCAGCTTGGCGAACTCGCCAGGGGCAAACTCGCGGGCCGAGACGTTCGCGGGCAGCTCCGTGCGGGGCTGGAACGGCACCTGCAGCGGGGAGCTGGGTCCCCAAACCCCCGACATGTTGATTTTGCTCAAGGCAGGGCGGCGGCGATCCTTGCCTTGGTGGAAGAACAAAAAAAAAAAAAACGTGGACCCCCAGAGATCTCGACCCATTCCCCAAGACCGGCTGTTCGTTCTGAGTCGTCTGTTCACGGTCCCAGGGCCCGGCAAGGGCCCCCAGAAACCGACATCAGCAGCAAAAGCCTCCCGTCGTGATTTGTGTCATGACTCGAGGGGTTCTGGCTGCGGATGCCATGACCATGGACACTCTAACACCCCGACCATTAAATGAAACATGTGTTTAAAATGTTCGGAACACATTCTAGCAATGTTTGGAACATGCTTTTTACATGTTGAAAACATGTTTGATACATGTGGTAGACACGTCAACGTTTTTCTTTTTTCATTCGGCGTTTAGACGTTGGGCGGAAGGGAGGGAGGGGGGGTTCTGGCTCCAGACCTCTGCCTAGTGCCACTGTTTGCAGAAGTGCGTCCTATGGGGGAGACTCCACCTGCTCGAGACAGGCGCCAAACATAGCCAAGATCTACTCCAGGGGGGGGACGGGGGGGGGGGGTGCGCGGGCCCGCGCCGATCGGCAAAACAGTGAATGAGAAAACGATCACCATCTGGAAATGGTGTGGCAGCATGCCTCCTCTCCTTTGGAGTCCCGAAACGGTGCGGTGACAGACCGTGCGGTGACCTCGAAATCCCCAAAGACCTCACCGCACGGTCCGTCACCGCACTGTTTTGGGACCTCGGAGGCCCCTGTCGCCCGAGACGTCCTCGGAGAGGGACTCGAGTCCCAAAACCGTGCGGTGACCCCGAATCCCCACTAACTCACCGCACGGTGTGGTCACCACCCCGTTTGGGGACCCCCGATCTCCGCGGATCGACTTCCACAAGAGTCCCGGGGTGGGCGAGCGGCGAAAAAGGGGGCGCGATGGCTCGCCTGGAGAGGCGCGCCGACAGATGGCCTCGACGGCACGCCGCCGACAGACCCGGACCGAGAGCCCCCCCCCCGGCGGGGTCGGGGCCCCCAGGCCCCGGTGGGCGAGGCGCTGGCGAGGGGGGTCTCTGCCTCCCCCTCGACTCGAGGGGGTCTCGTGGAGACGCCGGCGCTGGCCATCGCTCGGACGTCCATTCCCTGTGTTTTTGTCCGGCTTCGTGCGTGGATTTTTTTCGCCAAAGGATCAAGGATGCTCCTCGATGGTCCTCGCCGAAGGAAAAATGCACACGTCCGAGCGATGCCGAGCGACTCGAGGGGGTCTCGTGGAGGCGCTGGCTCGAGGGGGGCCTGCTCCAGCCCGCCCCCGAGGCCGTCGGCTCCCCCAGCCCGCGAGCAGGCCCTCCGTGCCTGGGGCATCTCCCCCTGCTCAGCCTCACCACCCTCCTCCGCCTCCTCCTCCTCCTCCTCCTCCTCCTCCTCCACCCTCATCTTCCTCCACCCTCATCTTCCTCCTCCTCCTATTGTTCCTCCTAATGTTCCTCCTCAACCCTTCTCTTCTTCCACCTCCATCTCCTCCACCTCCTTCCTCCTCATCCTCTTCCTCCTTCTCCTCCTCGCCCTCCGCCTCCTCTTCCTCCTCCTCCTCCTCCTCTTCCTCCTCATCCTCCTCCTCTTCCTCCTCCTTCCTCCTCCTCCTCCCTCCTCCTCCTCCTCCTCCCTCCTCCTCCTCCTCCTCCTCATCCTCCCTCTCCCTCCCCTCTTCTTCCTCCTCCTCCTCTCCTCCTCCTCTTCTTCCTCCTCCTCCTCTTCCTCCTCCACCCCTTCTCCTCCTCCTTCTCCTCTTCTTCCTCCTCTTCCTTCTCCACCCTCCTCCACCCTCCTCTCCTTCTTCCTCCGCCTCCTCCTTCGGAAGATGCAGTAATGGAAGTGTCGCCACTCTCCAGTAAGAGATATCCTACAGCAGGAGTTCGACCACCACAAAAAAACCTCCCACGGGAAACCCAACCCTGAGACCCCAAGACGCCCATGGATGTCAGGTGCGGGAACTTCACGCCTTCCGCGGCAAAAGCTCTGGAGGCAGGCAGGGCTCTTCTCGGCCTGGGCGTCCACCCCTAGCAGACAAACCTGAACACAAACGTTCGGATGACCGCGCGGGTTTCTAGAGGCCTCCAAGATGGGGTCAGAGTAGATGGGGTCGGAGGATCGCGCCGCATCGGCGATACATCAGCGATGCATCGGCGATGCATCGGCGATGCACCGGCGATACATCAACGACGTCGGCGATGCATCGGAGACGTCCGCGTGAAAGAAAAATCGGGCTCCGCATCGAGCCGCATCGGCGATGCATCGGCGATGCGGGGCGATCCTCCGACCCCATCTACTCCGACCCCATCTAGGAGGCCTAGAGGTTCTTGGGTCGGAGCTGGAACCCCCCTCCCATGGCGCGCAGAGCGCCCCAGGGGCGGCGCCGGAGGCGCCCGCCCGGGAGGCCAGGCGGGATCCAGGAGGCAAACCCAGGCGGCCCACAGAGGGGCATCCCGGGCGACCCCCTGGAGGCGTCCAGGGGGGACTGCTCCTCCTCCTCCTCCTCCTCCTCCTGCTCCTCCTCCTCCTGCTCCTCCTCCTCCTCCTCCTCCTCCTCCTCCTCCTCCTCCTCCTCTTCCTCCTCCTCCTCCGACCCACAGCCGCGGGATGGGCCGAAGGCCACCAGACGAGGGCGACGGCGACCCCCGCCACTCTGGGGCGGGCTCTTTGGGCGGGCGCGCGCGGGGGGGGGCGCCTGCGGGGACTCGCGGGGTAGTCCCTTGGTGCTCTTCATCCCGAAGGCGCCTCAGGGCGCTCCGGCTTCCCACTGCCCTCGCCTCGCCCTCGCTCAATCTTCCGTCCCCCCAATTCCCTGTTCACCCCTCCTCCCCGCAGCCCCCTCTGCCTCCTCTGCCTTCTCCTCCACCCTTTCCTGTTTCCCTCCGCATCAACTTGCTGCTGGATTCCCTATTCCGCCACCTCACCAAGCCAGTCCTACTGCTCCACACTCGCCTCCTCGTCTAAAATACTCCCTGTGCATCGTCTCAAATCCATGAGCGTCATCATCCTCGTCCCTATCATCTGCCCCATCGTCATCACCTCATCATCATCATCATCATCATCATCATCATCATCATCATCATCATCATCATCATCATCATCATCATCATCATCATCATCATCATAATCATCATCATCATCATCATCATCGTCATCATCAGCATCAGCATCAGCATCAGCATCAGCATCAGCATAATCATCATCATCAGCATCAGCATCATCATCAGTGTCGTCAGCATCATCATCAGCAGCAGCATCATCACCAGCATAATCATCAACATCATCATCAGCAGCAGCATTATCGGCATCATCATCATCTGTATCATCGCCATCGTCGTCATCATCAGCATCATCATACGCAGCAGCAGCATTACCATCCTCATCAGCATCATCCCCAGCTTCTTCATCCACATCACCATCACCATCATAGCCGTCGCAATGAATACGGTGTTGATGATGATGATGATGATGATGATGATGATGATGATGATGATGTTGCTCGACATCATCATCATCATCGCCACCACCATCATCAACCTCGTGAACATCATCATTATAATCACCATAGCCATGACCAAACTTAAAATTCGACTCGCAACTATCATCAATACCATCATCACCGGCATCAGCATCATCATCATTATCAGCATCAGCATCACCACAACCACAGTCACCGTCATCGTCGCTGAGGTCATCCGATATTGTTTACAGCATCATCATCAGCGTCATCGCCAGCATCATCATCCTCATCATCATAGTCCTCCCCATCAGCAGCATCAGCATCATCATCACCACCACCATCTTCATACTGTCCAGCACCAAGTTCATTATCATCAGCGTCATCATCACCAGCATCACCATCATCATCAACACCATCATCATCAACATCATCAGCAGCATCATCATCGTCATCATCACAATCATCACCACAGACGGCCTCGTCAACATCACTATCATCATCAACATCATGATCATCAGCGTCAACATCAACATCAACATCCACTGTAAGACTGCTGGCTCTTGTCGATCAGCGTCCCATCTAACATGTATACATATATACATGTATACCTCAAAGCCTCGATGACCACCCTCTTCGTCTTCGATCGTACCCCCCTTCACGGTACAGCTTCCTTGCCTGCCACGTGCAGGTCGCGCAGCCCCTAAAACAAGGGAAGGGAGGAGGGAATGGACAAGGGGGAGGGAGAAGTATAGTGGAGGCCAGTTTACAAGAAAACTTCAAACAAAAAACCCAGCCCTGAGACCCAAGGACGTCCACTGACTTCTGGTGTAGAAACGTCACGCTCTCCATAGAAACAGATCATCGAGACACAAGAAACCCAGGGCACCCTGGAGGCAAGCAGGGTGTCTCTTGTCATGAGTCCCCACTGTATGAGCACGAGTGAGATTAGCATTAGGTCGGGCATGTCCCCCTAGTTACAGGCGGCTTTTGGGCGAAAAATGATGTGTACCCCCCAAGAAAAAAAACTCCAAACTAGTCAAACAATCGTTCCCGTACAATTTTTCGTGACCAGTTATTCCTCCTGAAGAGGGACGTGCCCGACTTAAGTGAAGGGGCCCCAGGACACACAAATAAATACACACAAATAAATATGTTCCCCATATCTTCCCATATTTTCTGGGTTTCTGTCTTCCCCCCACTTCCCATATTTCCTATATTTTCTTGGGAATCGACGATTAATTGTGTCTGTGTGTTTCTTTTCCTTCTGATTAACATCAGCAGAGGAGGGGGCGCCGTGACCAGAAAAAAACAGGCGGCAGAACCAGACGAGCGGGCCGGTCGGGCAGGAGCGGACCCGACGAACGGGCGGCTCGGGAGGGCGGGACAACGGCGGCGGCGGGGCCTCGAGCCGGCGGGGGTCGCGGAAGCGTCAGGTGCCGCAGGACTCGCGAGAGGGGTCTCGCCTGAGAGCGCGAGTCTCGGGTAAGTCGAGAGGAAGTCCAGGGCGAGCGGATGACTCGCGACAGGAGTCTCGACTGATGGCGCGATTCGTAGGCAAGTCGTGGGGACGTCCAGGGCGAGCGCACGATTCCTAAGTGTGGAGGAGGCGCGGCGCCTCAAGGAGTTGCGAGGAAAAAGCCAGGGCCCGGCGTTGACGAATTAGCGAGAACGCAGCAAGCGAGAACCGTGGTTGTCGCAGTTCGGGGGCCAGGGGCCCAGTTAGAGGCCAAAGACGCTCCCTTTTAACAAAGCAAGGTGCGAGCCCAAGGAAGGGCAGTTCACTTGAAAAAGGGTGGGCACTGGGGGAAGATCGACAAAAACTATTGAAAAGGAATGAGAACTCGGCATCCACATCAGCAACAGCATCAGCAGCAGCATCAACATCACCATCGTCAACAGCATCATCATCAGCAGCAGCAACACATTCAGCCTCATCATGTGTATAATCGGCAGCAGCAGCATCGGCACCATTCACAACACCATCAACAACAACGATAATAGCATCAGCATCACCACCATCATGATTACGACAGACGTTGTCATCGTCAACGTCGTCACCACCACCACCGTCATCATCATCATCAACATCATCGTCACCATCGTCACCATCACAATCACCATCGCCACCGTCACCATCGTCACCATCGTCACCAGCATCATAATCAGCATCATCATCGCCATCATCACCACCAGCATCATCATCAACAACACCATGAGCATCACCAGCATCAGCATCAGCATCGGCGTCATCAAGAGCAGCAGCAGCAGTATCAGCAGCAGAAACAGTATCGTCAGAATCACCCTCATCAATATCATCAATATCATCATCAGCATCATCGTAATCAGCATCACAACCATCAATTCATCATCACCAGCATCAACATAATAATCATCACAATCATGATTCTCACCATCATCACCATCATCATAATCAGTATCACCACCAGCATCATCATCAGCATCACCATACCATCGACATCACCATCACCACAACCATCGTGAGCAGCATCACCATCATCATCATCATCATCATCATCATCATCATCATCATCATCATCATCATCATCATCATCATCATCATTATCATCGTCATCATCATCAGCAGCATCATCATCGTTAGCAGCATCAGCACTATCATCATCGTCAGCATCAGCACCATCATCATCATCATCAGCACCACCATCATCATCATCATTATCATCAGCATCAGGATCAGCATCAGCATCAGCATCAGCATCAACATCACCGTCAGCATCAGCATCAGCATCATCATCATCATCATCATCATCATCATCATCATCATCATCATCATCATCATCATCATCATCATCATCATCATCATCATCATCATCATCATCATCATCATCATCATCATCATCATCGGGTCATTTCTCGCCTCCTCGCCCACGTCTCCTTAGCCTGTCCCTGGTGGTCTTCGGGTCATGTCTCGGGCCCCCGGCGGCCGTTGGGGACGATCCGAGCAGCCCCGGAAGGAACGCCCTCGACGAGACGCAACCGCTGGAGAGCAACGCGAGGCTGGAAAAGCGCAGGCAACCGACGAAAACGCCCGAACACTTAGAACCCCGAACCTCGAACGTCGACACGTCCCCCCCCTCGAGCCCCCCCCGACACACCTGCCGCGAGGAGGCCGTGGACGCCGCCCCACTCGCCACCCGCCGCCCCAACGGCAGCGCGCTGCCGGCCGCCAGGGCCCGGGCCCTTCAGGATGAAGTCGTACTTTAGCCTGTACGACTGCTGCGCCTGCCGCGGGACGCACTCAGACATACCAGTACCTGTACGACCACCCCTCGGGTGATGAAGGGGTTCGAGGGGGAGGAACCAACGTCTCCCTCTCAATCGCTCTCACTGTCGATCTCACTATCGATCACACTATCGGTCTCACTATCGATCACACTACCGATCACACTGCCGATCTCACTGAAGGACACCGACGGGACACCGACAGGACATCGACGGGACACCGACGGGACACCGACGAAACACCGCTGGGACACCGCTGGGACACCGACAGGACACCGCAGGGACACCGACGGGACACCAGCGGGGCACCGACAAAACACCGACGGGACACCGATGGGACACCACGGGGAACCGACTGGACACCCACTGGACACAGACTGGACACCGACGGGGCACCGACAGGGCACCGACGGGACACCGACGGGGCGCCGACGCGGAACTTTGTCTTGTTTATTGCGGACCTTCCACAGGCCTGCAGTCGACGCCCAGAGACGAGCGGCCGACGGGACACCGGCAGGACACCAACGGGACACCTCGGCGGGGCACCCCTGGCCACCGCTCGCGGACACCGCCAGAACACCGACGGGACACCACGGCGGAGCACCACGGCGAGTTCGGCCGCGCCAGTCCACCGGAGTGGCGGTCTTCTGTCTCGACCCGCCCTTGCCACAGCGGAGTCATTCCTCTCGCCCGCCCACGAAGCTTCGCCTCGCCCGCAAGCACGACAAGAACCCGAAACCGGAACCGATTCTCTGCTGGGAAGCTCTCCGTTCCGCTTCGATCTCACCCCCTGCATCAGATAACGATCTTGTAGTACCTATATGGAAACCCTTCGGGTTGTAAGGAGGTTGGGTGGTTGGGGGGAAGAACCAACTGCTGGCAAATGCAGTGGGTGTGATGATGACGATGCTGGTGACGCGCCCTCGAGTTAGCGACGACGCGTACTATCGTGCCCGCTTTCGATCTCACTCGATCACGTCAAGTCTTAGTACAAATGGATTCAGCAATCAATCCCAGTGTGCTCGCCCCAGGAGGACTCGCCTGTCCCCGCGAGATCTGCACGACCCAATGGACGTCGCCTCCTTGCGCATCCGACAGCGTGAGCACAACCAATATCACAATCAGGCTCACTGTAGATCTCACTTTTGATCTCACTACCCATCCTTCCGAGCGACCTCATTATCGATCTCACGATCGACTTCACTATCGATACCAAGACGGGACACCCCCGGGCCACTGCCCGCCCGCCGCCGACGGAACATCGACGGGACACGAACGGGACGCCAACGGGACACCATAGGACACCGCGGCGGGACGCCCCCAGTCCACCACGCGCCCACCGGGGGCCGGAGGGGCACCCCAGGTCACTGCCCGCCCGCACCCGATGGAACATCGACGGGACACAAACGGGACGCCAACGGGACACCCCGGTCCACCCCGCGCCCATCCGAATCACCCTCGCGACGGCGTGGTCGTTCCCCTCGCGCGCCCGCGCAGCTTCGCCTCGTCCGCCCGACTCGAGCACGAGACCGAAACCGTCTTCCCGGTGGGGGGGCTCGCCGCTTCCCTGCGGCCTCGCCCCCCGACGCACGGGGTCGTCTCCCCAGCGGTGTGGCCAGAACGCGCCCGCCACGGAGCGCACGCTACAGGAGATCTCAGGGCGCGCGCCGCACACATAGTCCCAGCACAGTGGGGGCCAGCCCACAAGGAGCCTTCCACAAGAAACCCGACCCTGAGACCCCAGGACGTCCGCTGGTCGCGCCTTCCACAGCGACGCTCTCGGAACCCAAGACACCCAGGGCACCCTGGAGCTCTGTGAGCCCCGGAAACGGCAGGGGCGTTTTTTCACCCTCTCCGAAAAAATGTCCCTTGAACATGGAAACGGCAAAAAAAGCGGCGACCAAGAACGGCCAAAAACAGCTCCAGGCTTGGAACCGGAGCCGGAACCGGTTAAACAACGGCGACGGAACCAATAAAAAAACGGCGCCGGAACCAGCCAAAAAACGGCAAAACGGAACCGGTAAAAAAACAGCCCTGTCGTTTCCAGGGCCCGCTAAGGTCCCGGTACAGTGGAGGCCAGCCCACAAGAAACCTTCCACAAGAAACCCAACCCTGAGACCCCAGGACGTCCGCTGATTTCTGGTGTGGGCACGTCGCGCCTTCCCACAGCAACACTCTCGAAACCCAAGACACCCAGAGGCAAGCAAGGTGTCTCTTGGCATGGGCCTCCACTGTATTGTTGGGGCGACGGCGATGCCACGGTGCGGCCGGCACGCCTGGAAACGGGCACAGAGCGAGCGGGGGCGGCCCTGGAATCCAGGCGGCGCTGCAGTTCTCTCGCGCCGGGCGTGTTCGCCGAATTTCCGTGGGGCCTGGAGGCCACCAAAGCTCGGTCTGGCTCGGGAAATGCCGCAGAGAAGGTTGGGGTTCGGGCATGGCTTTTCGCGGAGCAGGGCCCGTCGGTCGAGAGAAGTGAGCAGGGCCATGGGGCAGGGAGGCGTTGAGAGTAGATTGGGCTCCCGCCCGCCCCCTGAAGAGGAAGGAAGAAGGGGAAGACGCCCGGTGATCGAAGCAGGAAGTCGCCCACAGTAGAATGGCATCTGGGAGTCCAAGAAGATGCGTAGCACCGGCAGCTGCGGATAAGTGTGAAGGGGGCTGCGGGGACGGCGGCAGTCTGCGAGGCTCTGAAGAAGCCCGCCGCAGGAACATACATTCACAAACTATCTAACGAATTCCGCCGCAGGCGCAAATATCTTGTTAAAGCAATGCGGATGGGTCGCGGATAGGGTCGCGGGCTGGGACGCGGGTGGGTCGCGCGTGGGTCGCGGCTGGGTCGCGGGCAGGATCGCGGGTGGGTCGCGGGTGGGTCGCGGGTGGGTCGCGGGTGGGTCGCGGGCGGGTCGCGGGGTGGGTCGCGGGTGGGTCGCGGGAAAATCGTGGGGTGAGTCGAGGGTGGGTTGCGGGTGGGTCCGGGGCTGGGTCGCGGGCCGGGTCGCGCGTAGGTGGAGGGCCAGGTCGCGGGGGGGACGACGACAACAAACAACAAACTACAAGCAACAAACAGCAACAACAACACCACCACCACCAACAATAACAACAAGCCACAAGTAACAAACAACAACAGGATGCCAACATCACCCGCGAGCCCTGGGCTCCTTCCTCCCAAGGTACGGACCCTGCCCGCAGCCCCATTGACCAAATTCTTTGCCCCCCCAAAAAACAAACAAAGAACCAAGCCGGAGAAAAAAAGGAGATAAGAAATATTCAGCACTCCTTCGGGACCCTTGAGGCAACCAACGCATTCCAGGGAGCTGAAACCATGTGCGCGCTAGCGCGCCTCCGATTCCCTAGGATTCCCTAATCCCAAGAATCGAGGAACTCATAGGAATCCCTAGGGAATCCAAAGGAATCCTAGGAATCGATGGGAATCCCGCGAGAATCCCTAGGGAATCTCAGGAATCGTAAAGAAACCAAATGAATCCCTAGGGAATCTCAGGAATCTGAGGGAATCCACAGCAATCCAGAGGGAAGTAGGAATTCCTGGGGAATCCGAGGAATCCCTAGGGAAATCCGAGGAATCCCTAGGGAATCCGAGGAATCTTAGGAATCCATAGGGGATGCCGAGTAATACATAGGAGTCCCTAGGGAATCGTAGGAATCCTAGGGAATCCATGAATCCCTAGGGAATCCCAGGAATCCACAGGAATCCATAGGAATCATACGAATCCCATAGGGATCCCTAGGGAATCCTAGGAATCCGATAACTCCTTCGGAATCCCTAGGAATCCTCAGGGACCCTCTATGATTTGTTGTATGCGGACGTCACGTCACGGTTTGCATCGTAGACCGTCGAACTCGAAGAAACTCAGGGCACCGAGGGAGCCTAGGAATATGTAGGCATTCTTAGAACCCCTCGAAACCCTTCTGGATGCTCAGGAACCCCTAGGAATCCTTGGGCATTCTTAGGACAGATTCTTGAGAGTATGACTCTATAGGAACTGTTCGGCACCCATGGGAATCCTTAGGGATTCGTATGAATCGCTTGGAATATGTACGTATTCCTATGGTGCCCTAAGAAAATGTCAGGATTCTCAGAAATCCGTGGGAATATGGAGGGATTCATAAAGATCCCTGAGAAGATGTAGGGATGCGTATGTATCCCTAGGAATATCAAGGTATTATTATGGATCCCTAGGAATAGAAAGGGATGCTTAGAAACCCATGGTTCTTAGGACTCCCTACGAATCTGCAGGGGAATGTGGAGAATCCCTAGGAACCTGTGAGGATCCTCAAGAATCCCAGGGAATATATTAGGATTCGTAGGAATCCCCAGGAATAGGTAGTGATCTTCGGGAATCACTAAGGGATGCTAAGAATCATGGAATCCTAAGAACCCCTAAGGAATCCTCAGAATCATTAGTGAACCCGTTGAAAATCCTGAAAGAACTCCAGAAATCCAAAAATAATCATCGGAATCCCTGGAAAATCCTCGGAACCTCTCAGGAATCCTCGGAATCCCTAAGGAATCCTAAGACCCCATCGGAACTCTAAAGAAATCTCTTGGAGATCCTAGGAGTCACTATGGAATCGTAGCAACTTCGAAGGACTCCTAGGAATCCAAAAGGAATGAGGACTCCCTAGGGGATCCTAGGAATCCCTAGGGAATCGTAGGAATCCGTAGGGAACCACGAGAATCCCACATGAATCCCAGGAATGCCTAAGGAATCGTAGGAATCATAAGAATCCGTGGGGAATCCCTAGAAAAGAAATCGTCTGCATTCCTTCGGGATCCCTGAGGCAACCAACGCATTCCAGGGAGCTGAAACCATGTGCGCGCTAGCGCGCCTCCGATTCCTAGGATTCCCTAGAAATCCATCGGAATCCCTTGGAATCCTTCGGGAATCCTAGGAATCCGACGACTCCTGAGGAGTCTCTAGGAATCCACATAAATCCCGCGGGAGTCCTCAGAATCCATAGGAATCCCGCGGGAATCCTGAGAATCCCTATGATTATATAGGAATCCCTAAGGGATCCTAGGAATCCCTAGGGGATCCTAGGAATCCGTAGGAAGCCTAAGGAATCCCTAGGAATCCATAGTAAACTCTAAAGAACTAAGGGTCCCAGGGGATCTATGGGAATCCCGTGGGAACCCTAGGAACCCGAGGGAATCCATAGGGATCCCTGGGGAATCCTAAGAATCCCTAGGGAGTCCCTAGGAATCCATAAGAATCCCGACGGAATCCCCGGAATCCTGGGAATCGGCTGGCCAACGAAAAACGCGAAACACGGCCGCAGAGGCAAGGACGCAAAGGATACCCCAAGGACGCCCGTGCGTCCTTACTATAAGCGTTGACTGTACAGGGCAGTCTTGATTTAATATATAAAATGCTGAAATATAGGATTGTTAATACATGATTAAATGTATGAATAACTGTATACATGAACCCGTCGTTGTTTTTAATACCACCCCCCTGAATGTTTAATACATGATCCGCACGCGGAGCATGTATTTATTAAAAACGGCACAATACCCGTCTCGATCGTACCGAGGCGAGGCCTCCCAGATTCTCCCACACTGCGAGGTCAAGTACGCATGGTCGCGGCGGCGCGGCACCCAAACCGCTGGCGAGGCAAACGCGGGCCACTGCGGGGCCGAAGTGGGCACAACAGGAGCGGGAAGAGCGCGAAGGAGGAGGAGGAGGAGGAGGAGGAGGAGGAGGAGGAGGAGGAGGAGGCGAGGAAGGAGGAGGAGGAAGGAGGAGGAGGAGGAGGAGGAGGAGGAGGAGGAGGGAGCAGGCGGGCGGCGGAGCACGCTCAGAGCAGCAAGGTGTTCTGCGCGAGTGCTGGAGCACAGAGCTGAGGCCGCGACACCATTGTGGAGTGCCAGCGCATTGAGCTCTTGCCGCGTGAGCGCTCAGAGCGTGAAGCTCTTGCGCGTGAGGCTGACGTTATCCGCGGGCCACCAGCGCGGAAACCTGCCGCTGCTCCCCGGACCTCTCCAAGGGTGCGCTTCAACCGGGTTTTGAGGCGGAGCCAGCGGTGGTGACCAGGGCCTCCCAGGAGGCCCGAGGGTAGCAGTAGGAGTACCCAGGGGAAGGAAGGAGGAGATTAAGGAGGAGGAGGAGGAGGAGGAAAGGAGGAGGCGGAGGAGGAGGAAAAAGGAGGAAGGAGGAGGGAGGAGGAGGAAGAGGAGAAAATGGAGGACGAGGAAGATGAGGAGGAGGAGGACGACGACGAGTAGGAGGAGAAAGCGGGAGGAGGAGGAGGAGGAGGAGGAGGAGGAGGAAGAGGAGGATGAGGAAGAGGAGGAGAAGGTAGGAGCAGGAGGAGGAGGCGGAGGAACGAGGAAGAGGAGGAGGAGGAGGAGGAGGAAGAAGGAGAAGGAGGAGGGAGTCGGAGTCGGAGTCGGAGTCGGAGTCGGAGTCGGAGTCGGAGTAGGAGTAGGAGTAGGAGTAGGAGTCAAGCTAGCCAGCTCGAGCGAGTCAAGCATGGCATGCCCAGTCGCACCCGCCCTCCCACAACATAAACAGCAAAGCTGGCACAACTGGGGGCCGAAGTCACACCGGCCAGCCGGTTTGGTACAGCTGATGCGGCCGCGATGGCGGTTGCCGACGGGAACTGGCGAGCGCGTGTTGAATGCCGCGCACGCATTGCCAGACGAGTCGAGAATGGCCCGGTACACCGCAGGAAGCCAGAGGTGGCCGTGTCGAGAACGGCCCGGTAAGCCGGGTCCCATTCCTGCCATGCATTTTGCGACGTGGACGACAGGACGTCCATGCGACGGTGCCAATGACGGCGACGACTCTAGAAGGATTTGAGCATGCGCTCGCGGCGACGCGCGCGCATGTCGCCCGCGTGGTATTTTTTGCACAGGATTCGCGGCCTGGGTGCATGACAGAGCATCGCGAGTGCACCGCGCGATGACGTGAAATCGCTGGATTTGACCGAATTCTTAAGATTCCTATGGTTTTCCTATGATTTCAGCAAGAGAGCCCGGGCAGGAAATTTGTACAATTTTTGTGAAAAAGCATTGGGTTTTTGATGTTTTTATGTTGAAATGCTTGCAAACACACGGTGTTCGGTAGGATTCTGACATGAACGCGCGCGTGTGCTCTTTGTGGTATTTTTTGCAATGGGTTATCGCCGTGGACGACAGGACGTCCATGTCGAGAGGAAAAAAAAAGAAAAATGTTGATTTTGTATTGTTTTTTACAGGTTAGGATGGGACCACCCGGATGGGGCCCCTATCTGCCGGCCTGAGGGGGGAGTAGGCGTATATTCTAATAAGGAATAAGGATAGGAGTAGGAGAAGGAGGAGGAGGAGGAGGAGGAGGAGGAGGAGGAGGAGGACGACGAGTAGGAGGAGAAAGCGGAAGGGAGGAGGAGGAGGAGGAAGAGGCGGAGGAGGAGGAGGAGGAGGGAAGAGGAGGAGGAGGAGGGAGGAGCATGAGGATCGAGGAAGATGAGGAGGAGGAGGCGGAGGAGGGAGGATGAGTAGGCGTAGGAGTAGGAGTAGGAGTAGGAGTCGGAGGAGGAGGAGGAAGATGGGGAGGAGGAGGGAAGAGGAAGAGGAGGGAGGAGGAGGGAGGAGGAGGAGGAGGACGAGTAGGAGGAGAAAGCTGGGGGAGGAGGAGGAGGAGGAGGAAGAGGAAGAGGAGGAGGAGGAAGAGGAGGCGCAGGAGGAGGAGGAGGGAGGAGCAGGAGGAGGAGGAGGACGAGCATGAGGAACGAGGAAGAAGAGGAGGAGGAGGAGGAGGAGCCACTTCTTCTCCCGCTTCTGGTCCTGCTTCCCTTGTCCATGCTGATCACTGCCCAGCTGGCACTCGTGTTGGTACCGGTGCTTCTTGCTCTCATGACCCCGATCCTGCTACAAGTCCAACTGCTCCAGCCCCTCGTACTCCTTTTGCCCCTAATTTCTCCGCTCGTCCTGCCGCTGATAACGCACCCCTGGAACCAACTTACAGAGAATTGCTTATGCTGAGAGAGTGGTGCAGGCACGTGTGGAGAGAAATGCTGATCCCGCAGCCTGGTGGTTGATCACCAAGATCTCGTCGGGGATATACAGCACCTGAGCGGAAAGGAGCAGGAAAAAGCGGAGGGAAAAATACGGGGGGAAGCGGCACGCAATACGATGAACATGACACGCTTGACGGACATGTGGAGAAAGAGTTGAAACCAGGGGGGGCGATCGGACTTTGGCGACTAACACACAATGCTCGATACGTGCTGTAAACTCTTGCGCACGTTACAGCAGTGCAGGGCAAGCGAGGAAAGAAGGAGCGAGCTCTGGCGGCAATCTTTCGGCGAGACAAACCTAACCACCCTGGCGGGGCATAGGTGGTTTAAGGAGTTGTCCTTTCCAACCCCCTTTCTCCGCTTCAGGGAGGGGGCCGGCGGCCATCCCTTTCTGCCCCTCCCCTCGGTCTGGAGAGGGGGCGCGATGGGGGTTCAGCATTCATGATAGCCCAAGATGGCTCAAGAAAAACTTGACTGTTTCCAACCTGAGACCAAACATGGGGAAACCACAAGGTACCGATACTGCTACTCCCCGAACCTCACCAAGGGTGCGTTCTGACGAAGACTCCGACGCGAATGCAGCGAAGGCGACGAAGACCTCCCAGCACCCCCCCCCCCCAAAAAAAACATAACAGGCGAAGGGTAGCGGTACTCCTCTGGATATCGAGTTTGACGAAGATGGCCGCAGATAATATAACATCGATTCCAAACTGACACCATAAAGATCATGATGCGTCAATCGAGGATGATCATCCACTTTGATCGTGAAAGACTATCGGGCGGACGCAAGCTTCTATCCTGAGCAGAGCATCAAAGCAACACAAACACATGAATCGTTGGCGGCCCGCGCAGGTTTCTGGGGTCTGGGCTGGACCACCCTCCCTGGCACGAGAGGCGCGCCAGGGGCGGCGCCAGAGCCGCTGCCAAAGGGTCCCAGCGCAGATCCAAGAAGTTCGTGCGGACCGCCAACAGCGTATGTGTATGCAGTTCTTGTTCTTCGAATCAATGAAACTAGCCTCCAGCATAGGCCTAAGCTCTGACGAGCCACAGGACGGCTCGGAGTGGCCTCGAAGCCGTCCAACGATGCCCCCGAGAGGCCCACAAGGGCGACAACGAGGGAAGGGTAGCGGTATGGGTGCCTCCCCGACCTCTGCCGATCTGACTCCGTCAAGAGCATGATGCATCAAGGTCGCCTCCAACAGAGGACCAAACTCCAGTAACCCACAGGACGGCTCCGAGTGGCCTCGGAGCCCTCCTGTGCTGCCCCCGCCCCGAGAGGCTAAGATCCTCCCAAAACCATCAGGTGCTGCAGTAAGGAAGGCGCCCAGGGACACACAAACAAACATACACAAAATCCGAGGATTTACCAGATTTGAAAGCAAGTGTTGCCTTCTCGCCGTGCCGCGTCCGGTGGGCTTCTGACGCCTGACGATGCCCCCCAAATCGAACAAGGAGAGCACGAAGATGCGTAAAGAGGGGCTTCGAGGCGGCCCGAGGAACGCCCAAGAAAGCCCCAAGAGGGGCTCCAAGAGACGATTGCTTCGGGTTCCGAGCCGGGGAGGTGGGGGATTTTCAAGGACCTTCCCTGCGTCGTGATGGGTGTCCTCCAAAATGGCCCGAGGAGGGCCCCCAAGGCCCGCAAGAGGGCCCCTACAGACCACCAAGGCGGCTCCAAAAGAACAATCCGCGTCGTCGTCGTCGTCTCCTTTGTCCTCCCCTATCCTTCACCGCATCCTCATTCCCGCGCCTCCTCATCCTCCTGGTCCTCCTCTTCTCCACCCTCCTTCTCCTCACCATCATCCCCCAATCTAAGGTTCACAGGAAATTCAGCGGGAGCGTGTTCCGTCAAGCAGCTGAAGCCGAGCAGTGGCACGGGCCAGGCAAAGATGTGAGAGACAGAATGCAGAGCAGGAGCAGAGAGAAGATAAGAATGAGGAGAAGAAGGCAGAGGACGAGGACGAGGACGAAGACGACGAGGACGAGGACGACGAGGACGAGGGCGACGACGAGAAGAGGGCAGCAGCAGGAACAGGAAGAGAAACGACAGTCGGAGCGTGGGGAAGAGACGCAGCAGCAGGAGGAGAGCGGAGGAGCACGTGGAAGAAGCAGGAGACGGCTCAGGAGGAGGAGGGACAGAGTGGCGGCGGCGGCCGCCAAGAGGGCGCAAAAGGGGGACACAAAACGCGGCACCAGATCGCGGGCCGTCGGGTCCCGCTGCTGATGCAGCCGGATGTCCTCGAACTGGAAGGCAAGGTCGTACCCGAAGGCGCCGTACAGCCCCAGGTGGGCGTCCTGCGTACGCGCGCGCGCACGCCACGCGCGCAGACGCCTGCTGGTCCCAAGAGTATGCACAACCACCACCTCCATCTGATAGGCTTGTTTTCCTCCACCACCACCAGAAGTTGGAGGGGGAGGGGGTCCTCCTCCTTCTCGCCCTCCTCCTCCACCTCCTCATCCTCGTTCTCCTCCTCCTCGTCCTCCTCCTCCTCCTTCCCCTCCAACTTATGGTGGTGGTGGAAGACAGGCCCATTACTATCCCCCCCTCCATCTGACACAACACTCCTCTTCCCCCTCCCCCCCCTCACCTGGGAGGAGGGGGTGGAGGAGGCGGTGGTGGTGCACGCGTGGGCTGGCAGAAATGGGCAGAAGCATAGAGCAGGAAGGCGTTTGAAGCAGATCGGGTTTCCGCCCGCCCTCTGAAGAGGAAGGAACAGGTGAAGCCGCTCGACACTTGAAGCAGGGCGGCACCCATAGTAGACTGGAATCCGGGAATCCAGCAATACCTGCCTTCAACGACCCGCGCGTCTACGCTGGGGCCCCGTGCGCTCGCACGCCCGCTGGACCCCCCTCTCTGGCACGCGGAGCGCGCCGGGGGCGGCGCCGGAGGCGCCGCCAGGGGGGCCCAACGCGGAGCCAAGAAATCCGCGCGAACCGTCGACAGGTCATGTGCATGCAATTCTTGTTCTTCGAATAAAAGTATCTAGCCGGCAGCGCCGCCAAGGGGGCCCGGCGCGGATGCAAGAGATCCGCGCGAGCCGTCGAGAGCTCATGTTGATGCCGTCTCAGTCTTCTTCGAGAAGAGGCCCCCGAGCTCGCCAAGGGGGCCCGCACGCGCCCCTCGACCGCCAGAAAGCCGAGGCCGGGGCGGCGCGGAGGCCCAGAGGGGGCGGCATGGAACGCGCTGCGCCGCGCGCGGGCGCCGCGCGCGCGCGCGCGGGGCGGCGCCGGCCGCTGCCGCGGGGCTGCCCGAATGCTTCGCCAGAGGACTCCTCCTCCTCCTCCTCCCTCCTCCTCCTCCTCCTCCTCCTTCCTCCTTCTCCTCCTCCTCCTCCTCCTCTTCCTTCTGCTACTCTCCTCTCCTTCTCCGCCTCCTCCTCCTCCCTCCTCCTCCTCCCTACTCCTCCTCCCTCCTCCTCCTCCTCGCCCCTCCTCCCCCCACCTTCTCCCCTCCCCCTCCCCCTTCCCCTCCTCCTCCCTCTCCATCTCCTATACAATCAACCCGAGCAGAAGAGCATCCCTCAAGAGCCAGGGGTTGCTACAGGTACCCCTGGGCCAAGCTGCCCCGGCCCACTGGGCCCCCTGGGCCTCGTGAGGGGTGCTCTGGAGGCCGTGGGGGCCTCATTGGACATCCTGGGGGCACCGTGGGCCAGGGGCACTTCTAGCAACACCCGAACGAACATGAGACCCTCTGCCGGCCCAAACTGAAGTCGGGAGCGGCCAAGAGGGGGGTGTCCAAGAGGGGGGGGCGCAAATCATGACCAGCGGCATGTGCGCGGCCCAGCGGGGGGGCCAGGGACGTAATGAAATAAGAAGAGGCGCCATGAAATCTGAGGAAAAATCATGGCCCGCGCCATGAAATCCACCCCTCCCTAGTCATCACCCCCCTCTTTTCCGCTCCCGATGAAGGACTGTCGAGGGTGCCCTCCCCCGGGATGCACAAGAGCCTCCGACACACGCGAAGAGCATCGGGGCACGGTGCCCTCCCCGGACCGACCCCGATCGTAGCCCTCGGTCCGTCTGCATGTCAGGGGCGCACGCCAAGGATGCAAGGGCCTTCGACACTCCGCGAGCGGGGCGCGGCCAGCGGAGGCGGCCGAGCATGGGCCGAAGGGGAAGGATTGTAAAGGCAACCTGGGAAAATTCAGGGGGACGTAAGACCTGGGTACAGGGGACTCGGAAATCCCCGACGAGGTCGTCAAAAAAATGACGAGGCCGAGCCTGCATTTTGACGAGGCCTCCCGCTGCAGACATCCCACGAAACTCCTCCTCGTCAAAATCCGAGGCGCGGTCGTCAAAAAACGATGGCGAACCCGAGTCCTGGCAAACCCGGGTCTTACGCTCCCCCGAAAAATGGCTCATCCTTACTATGCGGGTTGTGGGGTCGGAGGATCGCGCTGCACAGCCGATGCATCGGCGATGCATCAGCGACGCCGGCAAGGCATCGGTGCCGTCGGCGCGGAGAAAATCGGGCTCTGCATCGGCCGCATCGCCGAGGCGTCGGCGACGCGGCACGACTGTTTGGACCCGTCTGATCGGACCCCATCTAGCAGGCTTGGGTTCCGTCAGCCGTCGCAGAGTCGGGCATGTCCCTCTACAGGAGGAATGCTACAACCCGTGCTGTAGAGGGACGTGCCCGACTTAAGCGTAGGACGTCAGATGGGACGCCAGCGCGCCCAGCTCTGCCCCCTCCCTCTTGCGTGCTGCCCCGCAAATGCCTGCGCTGCCTTCCGCCGCCCGGCACTGACCTGCGCTCGGTGTCCGTGCTCCAGCGCGCCTGCACTCGCGATACCAACGGCTCCCAACTTCGCGCTCTCGCGCCGCCTCCCAAGGGAGAAGAGGAGGATGAGGAGGAATCGGAGCCGAACCGCGAAGCGCGAAAAACTTCGCACCCTCGAGGGCGCCCTTGAATACAGAGGAGGCCAGTCCGCAAGAAGCCCTCCATAAGAGACCCAACCCTGAGACCCCAGGACATCCATCGATTCTGGGCGTGGGGAACGTCGCGCTTTCAACGGCAGAGCCATCAAACCCCGAGAGGCCCAGGGCACCCTGGAGGCAAGCAGGGTGCGTCTCGGCATGGGCCTCCACTGCACTTGGCCTCCGTGTCATGTGGATGCTTTGCCGATGCGCCGTCCAGCCGAACTCTGGCTGGCGTTCCCGAGGCTTACGTTTCCGATGATGAGATCGGGTGGGGACAGATCGGAAGTCTCTGAGATCCAGCAACTCTGGAGGATGTCGTAGGGCGCCGCGGCCTTCTCAGTGCGCTCCGGCACGCTCTGAGAGCGCTCTGGAATGCTCTGGAACGGATGTATCCTCGTCCTGGCACCGTCCGACAGACCCAACCCTCGCGTCGTGGCCGCCTCCTCCTCCTCCTCCTCCTCCTCCTCCTCCTCCTCCTCCTCCTCTTCCTCTTGCTCTTGCTCCTCCTCCTCCTCCTCTTGCTCCTCCTCCACCTCCTCCTCCTCCTCCTCCGCCTCCGCCTCCGCCTCCGCCTCCGCCTCCGCCTCCGCCTCCGCCTCCTCCTCCTCCTCCTCCCTCCTCCTCCTCCTCCCTCCTCCTCCTCCTATTCCTCCGCCCTCCCCTCCTCTCCTCCTCCTCCTCCTTCTCCTCCTCCTCCTCGTCCTCCTCCTCCTCTTCCTCCTCTTCCTCCTCCTCCTTCTCCTCCTCCCCCTCCTCCTCCCCATCCTCGCCCTCGCGTCGTGGCCACCCCTGGCTCCTGCAGAGGAGAAGCAGCAGCCGCCGGCACGGCGAGGACGAGACCGATGGGCGCACGAGCCCAGCAGCGGGAGCGGCAGCGGCGGCGGCACCGGCCGCCCGGTCGGCGGATGGAGCCCTGCGGCCACATCCAAGATGGGGGCCATATGGCGCTCGTTCCGAGTTCGGTTCCTCCTCCTCCTTCTCCCCCTCCTCCTTCCCCTCCTTTCCTCCCCCTCCTCCTCCTCATCCTTCTCCTCCACCTTCTCCTCCTCCCGTTCCTCCTCCTCCTCCTCCTCGTCCCCCTCCTCCTCCTCCTCCTCCTCCTCCTCCTCCTCCTCCTCCTCCTCCTCCTCCCAAGCAGGCTGGCGGTTTGAGGTCCGAAGCATGGCGCATCCTGCCCAGGAGCAGTCTTGGGGCACGGCTTGTGCCGTGGCCCTTCGGCTCGAACCCGCTCAGCACAGCAAGGGCACAGCGGGTGTCGTGCGAAGTCCCCGCCGAGCTCGCACAAATCACTGCCCGCCCAAACAAAACAAGCAGGACTGCGAGAGGCCTCAAACGGACCCCAAGAGGACGCAAGTGCTCAGAAGCTCTCCCAACAAAAGATCAGAGAAAAGACGTCTCTTCCTTCACGTCCTCCACGTCCTCATCGTCCTCCTCGTCATCGTCCTCGTCCTCGTCCTCGTCCTCGTCCTCGTCCTCCACCTCCTCCTCCTCCTCCCCTCCTCCTCCTCCTCCTCATCCTCATCCTCATCATCATCATCATCATCATCATCATCATCATCATCATCATCATCATCATCATCATCATCATCATCATCATCATCATCATCATCATCATCATCGTCATCATCATCATCATCATCATCATCATCATCATCATTCTCCCGGACGGCACACAAGGATCACGCCTAGACGGAGCTGTCCCAGGCCATGCGGGAGCTGAAGGCCAAGGCCAAGGAGGAGCTCAACGACTGTCGCCTCCACAGGATGGAGAACCTTGAGATGTCGCTGAAATGTTTTCATGCAGGGACGGGGCTTGGCGCTGACCAGTGGGCGCCAGACCAGCTCAGGGCGCTCAGCCCCTTGTGCAGAGAGTCGTTCCCGTCAT